GGGAGGCATAGTGCCGCATCATTGGTGTCAGTGGAAGAAATAGTGCCCCATCATAGGTGCTTGTGGAAGGATATTTGCCCCATCGTTGGTGTCAGTGGAAGGGATAATGATGATTATTTGGTGTCATTGGAAGGAACACTGCCTCATCGCTGCTACCTGCAAGAGAAATAGTGTTCCAACATTATATCAGTATGCCCCATCCTTGATGTCAGTGGAAGGAAAAAATCCCCAATGTTGGTGGCAGTGAGTGTAAGTATGCCCCACCATTGGTGTCAATGGAAAGGATGGTGCCTCATTGTTGATGCCAGTAGAAGAAATAATGCGTCATATCAATGATAGGAATAGGGCCGAATAAAGACCGATAAAGGGCCGCATCCGGCCCATAGTCTGCAGTTTGGAGACCACTGCTCTAGCAGGTACAGAAAAAGAATCCTACTGCAACATGTACGTAAAACAAACCTGGGACTGGTTATTGCAAAATGTATGCAGCTGTAACTTAATGACAGGTGGGATTTCTTGTCTCATAGAGTGAGCGTTGGAAGAATGCCGCAGGAGGTGATATGAAGTATGTGTCCCAATGGCTGTGTAGACTAAGCTTGTGAGATGTGTACATAGTAGTGTTTGCATAAAAGGTGAGAAGTGTGGATGCTGGTGACGGGAAATGCATGTGTCCTGAAATATCTTCTCTCGGGTCTTGCAGAGTGAAGATATTGATGAGTGGGACGATGCTGCTCTTATTAAATCCTATGAAAAGGCTGTCCAGTCTTTCCAGGTACCTATACCTACTACATAGTTGTATTTCTATGTCCCTTTTTTTTAGGGGAACCTTTTTTTCAAATTTGATATCCCAGTGTGACAGCAGTAACACTTGTTAAGCTTGGTAATAGTGTCCGCCCAGTGGTTGAAATAGAAACCTGTTTTTCTGAAGTATAAAGAGGGACAGTCACAGTGCCGCTGGGCATTGATATTAAGGTAAACCTCTACTGTTTGATTTGTTATAATTGTAAAGCATTACTGCACAGTAATTGTTTGTCTTTTTATTATTTACCTGCATTATTCCTTTCAGAGCAGAGGTGTCAGTTGAGGGTTGGACTGTAAGGTCATCCTGCCTGAGCTCAGTGCCACAAAGACACATTCAAAATCCTAAATCTGCTGTTAGGATCATATTAAAGAAAACAAAAGGTTTTATTAACTGAACATTTTATTCTGTTTGGTAGCCCAGATATTAACCTTGAACACAGGCAGGAGACAAGTCTTCCTCTATAAAGACCATACAGACTGACACTGGACTGACATGTCTGCACTGACAGACATGAGGACCCTAACAGAGAAAAGCTAATGGAACTGTCTGCACTGACATGGAAAGAATATAAGTGAATGACAGCACTCACACCTATCTCTGAGATTAAAGAGTGCCATGTTATAACAACCTAAGGAGAATATGTCCCCATAAGGGTGAAGTGACAGTCTCTTACTAGCTTCCAGATCTCACTTATATTTACCTTCACCGTGCTTCCCCACTGTTCCACTGCTTTATAAATATATATGCTTTATAATATATATTGTAAATATCCAAAGCTTCCAAGCATAGGGGGGGCATGAAACCTCTTCCAAGTATGCAGTGCTCAGGACTGAGCGGGCAGTCGCCAGTTCCGAAGGCTGTTACCTGAACAGGGGGACTATGTTTTCTAGCCTGTGTAAGCTGGAACATCATGACAAATGAAGCTTACATAGTAAGAGTTAGGACTGCAGAGCAGGGGAGTGCAGGGAAGGTCAATATTTTAGAAGGTTGGGGGAAGAGACTGAATGAGCAAAGTGACAGTCTGTTTAGCATTGCAGATTGAGAGTGTTACTGGTTCTCTTTAAATTAGTTTAGTCTGTATTTAGTTATAAGCAGAGAGACTGCACTTTAACAATGGGTCTTGGGGCCATTTATAGAAGATTTCTTGGTTTGACTGGTTAAAGCAGTATTAAACCCAAAAGCAAACAGTTAATAAATTGCAGCTTACCGATTCTTAGATATGATGGCTCCATTATTTTCCCTTTTTTAGGCTTTCTTCTATTTTCATCTGGTGATCCATCTAGCAAGTCAGTTTTTCAAAAGCTCAAGCCCTCCAGCAGAATGTATTAGCTTACATGGATGAGACAAACCATTTAACACTGGCAGGGGTGGTTAAAATGATCAGCTTTTATTTATTCATGTGAAACCTCTAGGCCCCTTTCACATGGGCGTACTCTGCCAAGCAAACCCACCTGCTCAACGGGGGATCTGACCCACTGATCCCCGCTGAGCAGGCAGATGACATGTCCATGTCTGCTCTACTTGTACAGAGCAGACATGGACACATAGGTCCTCTATGGGGCTATAAAAAAAACGCCTGTCCCTTTACATCTAGCTGTCATTCAATCCTATCCACTAGGCAGAGGGGGAATGGATCCCTTATCCATCTATTTTTAGAGGATCAGATGCCGGTGGTTGTAAATGGACACATGTCTGCTTACATTCGCCTCTACATAGAGAACAATGGATGGTCCGATCAGGTCCGCCTGAAAAATGGACAGTTGGACTCAATTGGTCCATCCGTGTGAAAGGGGCCTTATCCCAAAGGAAATAACTGATTGCTGTAACTGATTATAAAGTGTGAACTGGAGTTTGGCTTCAATTAGTTACTGTTTTTAAATCTACCAATACATTTAACACTCCCCTCCTCCAAGACTGGCAATGCTGCCTGCTGTGCCTCCTGTGCTCATTCATCCAGAGTGGGGGCACTCTAATACAGGAGGTATGTTACTGGTCAGATCATCACGTGAAAACAGAGGGGGGAAAAAGCATAAAAAAAAAAAAGGAATGCAGCCACCACATACAGTGCATCCAGAAAGTATTCACAGCGCTTAACTTTTGCCACATTTTGTTATGTTACAGCCATATTCCAAAATTGATTAAATTCATGTTTTTCCTCAACATTCTACAAACAATATCCCACAATGACAATGTGAAAGAAGTTCATTTTAAAATCTTTGCAATTTATTAAAAATGAAAAAAAACACATGTACATAAGTATTCACAGCCTTTTCTCAATACTTTTGTTGAAGCGCCTTTAGCACCAATTACAGCCTCAAGTTGTTTTGAGTACGATGCTACAAGCTTGGCCCCTATTTTGGGCAATTTCTCCCATTCTTCTTTGCAGTACCTCTCAAGCTCCATCAGGTTGGATTGGAGTGTTGGTACACAAGCCATTTTCAAATCCCTCCAGAGATGTTCAATCGGGTTCAAGTCTGGGCTCTGGCTGGGCCACTCCAAGACATTCACAGAGTTGGCCTGTAGACACTCCTTTGTTATGTGGGGTGTGTGTTTAGGGTCATTGTCATGTTGAAAGATGAACCATCGCCCCAGTCTAAGGTCCAGTGCGCTCTGGAACAGGTTTTCATCAAGGATGTCTCTGTACATTGCTGCATTCATCTTTCCTTCGATCCTGACTAGTCTCCCAGTTCCTGCCGCTGAAAAACATCCCCAGAGCATGATGCTGCCACCATCATGCTTCACTATAGGGATGGTATTGGCCAAGTGGTGAGCGGTGCCTGGTTTCCTCCAGACATGACGCTTGGCATTAAGGCCAATGAGTTAAATTTTTGTTTCATCAGACCAGAGAGTCCCTCTGGTGCCTTTTGGCACCCTCCAGCGGGCTGCCATTTGCCTTTTACTGAGGAGTGTCTTCCGTCTGGGCACTCTACCATACAGGCCTGATTGGTGGAGTGCTGCAGAGATGGTTGTTCTTCTGGAAGGTTATCCTCTCTCCACAGAGAAACGCTGGAGCTCTTTCAGAGTGACCATTGGGTGCTTGGTTACCTCACTGGCTAAGTCCCTTCTCCCTCGATCATTCATATTGGCCGGGTGGCCTGCTCTAGGAAGATTCCTGGTGGTTCCAAACTTCTTCCATTTACAGATGATGGAGACCACCGTGCTCATTGGGGCCTTCAATGCTGCAGAAATTTTTCTGTACCCTTCTTTAGAACTGTGCCTTGATACAATCCTGTCTCAGAGGTCTACGGACAATTCCTTGGACTTCATGGCTTGATTTGTGCTCTGACATGCATTGTTAACTGTGGCACCTTATATATACAGGTTTATGCCTTTCCTAATCATGTCCAATCAACTGAATTTCCCACAGGTGGAACTCCAATCAAGTTGTAGAAACATCTCAAGGATGATCAGTGGGAACAGGATGCACCAGAGCTGAATTTTGAGTGTCATGGCAAAGGCTGTGAATACTTATGTACATGTTTTTTTTTTTTTTTTTCGTTTTTTATTTTTAATAAATTGCAAAGATTTCAAAACAAACTTCTTTCATGTTGTCATTATGGGGCATTGTTTGTTGAATGTTGAGGAAAAAAATTAATGTAATCATTTTGGAATAAGGCTGTAACATAACAAAATGTGGCAAAAGTTAAGTGCTGTGAATACTTTCTGGATGCACTGTATAATGATTTATTAGCTGCAATATATTACATTTTTGGGTTTAATATCGCTTTTTAATGAGAAAATGCCTCTGTTAACCAGTAACACCTTACTGAAACAAAGTTTTGCTTTCTCATTCCAGGGAAATTTGGTTCGAAATCACTTTAACCAGTCCTAGAGTGTCACCACAGGGTCTCTTTTACAAAACAGGTCACCTGTAAAATAGGCATTTATATAATTCTCTTTCTGGCAGCTTGTGTAGTGAAAAGTCTGTTTCTCTGCACTCCAGCAGATGCAAGTATTCTACACTTCTGGGTGTGTGGAATACCTGCTCTCCTTCTGGCCGCTGTGGTTCCTTCCACCTCTCTGAATCATTTTGTCATGTGATTTTCACAGAAGGTAACCTATGTTACTTAGCTTTAGGGCTTGATCCCCTAAATGCTACTTCAAGTACCAAGAGTGAGAACAAGAGTGCTAACAAAAAGAGTAGGTGAAGATCTCCTGAACAAAACAGAATATTAACCACTTCCATCCCTATCCCTAGGATATGCTTAGATGCACTGATAAAAACCGGAGGCCAGAAGAAGCTACTGCATCAGGTGATCCCCAAAAAGATTGTCAGCGAGACGTGACACGAGAATCAGAGTGGGAGAGAGACGGTCACAGGGATCACCCAAAGGATGAGGGGGATAAGTGGAGTAAGAAGAAGAAGGCACAGCCTCCTCCTCCTATGACACATCCTTCTTCTCAGTCAACCTCTCGCTCTCTTGCAACCAAAGTGAGTGGCCTAATAAAAAAATAGATTCATATCCATAAATGTACACAGTTGCAAATTAAATTGTATTTTGTGTTTCTTCTTTTAACTTTGGTTTCTGAGAGTGAAGTCAGTTTTGCATGGAATGTTGTATACCTGCATTTTGCCACGCATGTTCATTATATTTTTGTCCCTTCTTAGTGGAAAGTGGGAGACCCTTGTAGTGCAGTTTGGTCAGAGGATGGATGTGTCTACCCTGCTACAGTAAAATCCATTGACAGAGAAAGCGGCACTTGTGTGGTCCAGTATGATGGCTATGGAAATACCGAGAGGCATCAGCTGGATGAAATAGTGTCTGTGGGGAGCAGTGGGGATAGCACCCCACCTGTCAAACAGGTGACTGAATCTTTTCTGTAGTACCAAACCGCTTACCCTAATGGACCGCACTGCCCAGTGTCTGTATTGCCACCTTAGTGCACCCTTCGTTTTACAATACATGTATATTTTCCCTGCTAGTTCAGTGATTACAGTTTCTAAGTTACATTTGTGGCTTCTTCTACTCCCTATAACAAATGATTATCACAGTTCACTCTAGTTGTGATACTTTGTTACCTTAGGGGGGTCATTTATAAAGTACAATGGAATGAGATTTGCATAAAACCATAGTTATGGAGTTGACCACTATTTTTTATATTTCAAACTGTGTTGACATGTCAACAGTTGTTAGCTTAGCTTGGATAGTATCTGTGAATGGGGTAAATCAGTTGGATTTAACGAATCATTAGGTCAACACTTATTAATTTAAAACAAGATATTGTAAAACAATTTTTGTCAAAGGGGTTGAATAGTGACAGTAAAAAAATTGTTTCATGATGTTGAGGGTAATTGATCCAAGGTTTTAACAGGTCTGTAAGTCATCATGAAAAATGAATGCAATTGGTGAATTCAAACAATGTTCACAAACTTGTTGGAAGGGTACCTGTTTTCTGGGACAGCACAAAAAATAGTCTCATTCTGCCGTTTATAAATGACCCTTTTGTGCATCTACTGTCTCCACCATCAGATTAATGAACAGCAAGAATTTTTCCAATTAACCTTCTTCCCGTCACCTCTGTCATTACAATGACCATTAATGCCAGGCATTTCCTCTCCGTATTAATAAATAAATCCAACCATTTACACCACTATGCTTACAATCTCTGCCAAGCCAGTTGTCCTTCCTGTTTCCACCAGGGCAGATACTGGATTGATTACCCCACCCCTCCCATTGCTTCCACTGTTATTCCTAGATAGTGTCAGATTTCCTCCTTTGTCAAGTTGTAGTTTCTCTACACACAGACGTTTTCATCTAATGGCAGATCTACTATTTTTCTTCTCTTTCTCTTTGAATTTTTCTATTTAAAATCTCTTATAACACCTACAAGTCCACAATCTCTCATTTTTTTCTCTCATATAGTGGAAGGTTGGTGACCGTTGTTCAGTGCAGTGGTCTGAGGATGGACAGCTATACTCAGCCGTTATTCGCTCTGTGGATGAGGTTTTGGGCACCTGTGTGGTGGTGTATGAGGGATATAACAATGAGGAGGAGCAGAACTTGGCTGATCTGATGCCTCCATCCAGACTCCCCGCACACACTCGCGGCAAGAAGCAGGCGAGTCCTGCACCTCTAGGACTGGATAGCTCAGGGGTACAGCCTGATATGTGTGGAACTGAGTGGTGTTTGGTGCCTGGACCATTTAGGGCTGTAAGAGGTAGAGGTTTAAATTTATTACCCTTGTGCTAATATTGGGGGTGGTAGCTGTGACACTTCTAAGACTTGAAGTAAAAAAAGTAAATCTTTGTGCATAGTATACAGAGAGACAGACGATGACTTCAGACATAGCATATAATATTATTGAGACTGACCAAAGAAATAGACTATTATCTACTTCTGCCTAATGGGGATAATATATGTTTAACCCTTTCATTGCCACCAAAAGAACCCATGCACAGCACGTCCAAATATTTGACAGGTTCATATCTGTGAAGAGTAAAAGATTAACAGCTCACATGCTAAAACTAACATCTGTTTGGATGCACAGGCAGCTTGTAAAGCACCAAAAAATTGTATTAAAAAGTATGTCCAGAATCACGACGAAAAGATACTGCAGTATGTTTCAGCCATGATGTTCTTCTCTAGTCTTTTTCTATAGTTCACACACAAAGCAACTGCTCAAGAAAGGACATAATAGGGGAATTAACAAAGAGTGGCACAGGCTTTATGCCTGCACTACTTTTCTAAGCTGAGAAAACAGAGTAGATTCTGCTCCTGTTTAACAAAAAGGGCACTGGCCCCTCTGTAATTAGAAACAATGTGTTCTGTGCCCTGTTTGAGGAATACACAGCACAGAGAACAGTTCAGCTGGAGCTGCAGGAATCTTTGTTAATTCCCCTGAATGTCTCAAACATAAATTGTTCTCTCGATAATCCTATGATTTTGCATGGATCTGTGATGCCAGATATACTTTCAAGATTTGCTTTGTTATACACACGTTTTTTGCTTCATTTCCTCTGGCTGGCAATCAAAGAGTTAAGACTATTAGGTGAGCAGACTGTGTTTGTTACTAGTACAAAAGGTGCAGGGGGAGACTGAGCATGATTCCTTAGAGGCTGGCTGGCTTTCACATGTAACAGCTTTGATTGGCAGGATGAGGAGGATACAGACTGGCTGTACACAAGGAGAAGTTCTACCTCTTCACCTGATCTATCACGTAATTGGAGGAAACAAGGGAAGAAGTCTGATTGGATGTATACTTTTCCACCACCTCCTCCGCCTCCCCCTCCACCACCTCCACCGTCATTACCTCCTCCTCCTCCACCCAAGGTGAGCATCCTACAGTATGTATGGTTAAGAAAAACTTACCTTTGAATTCTAGTGAGATAAGCCTTTCACTTCTCTGAGACCTGCTAAAAGTAAATATTAAAAAAAAATGTAATTTCTTTATTTTAGGGCTGTTTTTTGGCCACCACCTCCACCACCTGTGAGAGCTCACCTTCCTGCCTGGCACAATTGGCCCCCAGTAAGTGACTGCATTTCCTCTTCATTTATTAATTTGCCTTATTTAGTTTTCGGCTCCTAAAATGGTGTATTTTACTTTTGTCAGTCAGCTCCCCTCCCTCCACCACCGCCACCACCTCCTTTCTTCAGCACAGATTGGGAGGACTATGATGAAGAAGAGCAGGAAGATGAAGATGTCTTAGCTTGTATGCTGATGGCTTGGTATATGACTGGGTATCATACAGGCTTCTACAAGGTATCTATTTTTGCTGCCTTCTCAATGAATAGATAGTTAGATGAAAGTTCATTAAGAATAAAATGAACCTTTTGTTTTCGCCTATTGGGCAACAGGTTCTCTTTTAGAAATGTATATTTACCTTATCTGCACTCGCCTTCTTTTTTAATCTACTGTCTTGCCACTTGAGTTCCTCTATACGTTTTTATTTGCTGAGCGAGTCAAAAATTAGAAAGAGCTATGCATATTTCCGTCTTCCCCATATGACAGCACTTAAGCCTGATGAGTGATCACTCTTTGAGCACTGCCTTTGGGGGATGCAGGGAAGTGTCACATGTTCCTCCCCACTCATGCACAGGTACAGGGTATTTTTCAGGCAGTCTGGTATTGGGGGAGTGCAGAGAAAGTAGGTAATGACCACTTTTTTTTAAAGTGAACCTATTGCTTTCCTTAGTATGGGCACAGCAGATGTTTGTTTTAATGAGGAAATTAACTCTGGTTAACTATAGTAACTATAACTGTAGCTACCCCAAAGAACTGGACAACACTGGTTTTTTGAGTAAAAAAGAAGATCTGCTTATTAGGGAAACACACTGAATTTATACAGAAAACCATCAGATAAGAGCTAATCGCATGATCATAGACCATGCCCAGTCCGGCACTCACATAAGAATACATTATACATAGGAAGCCATATGTTACAATGATAGTTCTTTTTGGATGACTTGAAAACACAATAAAACACAGTGTTCTCCAGGCTATGGTTCTCCTGCAGCCCCAAGTCTGTGACAATACTCTCCCCTGTTCCATAGTCTGGCAGACCTGGCTAGATCTAATACGGGTCAGGTTGGGGATGTCCGGAAGCTATACTACAGTCAAAGGTCCGTTTGCCGGGAAAGTCCGTCTGTGTTTTCGTTTTGTTGTCCCGGCCTGTACTCCACAGTAAAGTTGTAAGGCTGCAGGGCAAGACTACCGCAAAAAGCATCCATTGTTCCAGGATACGCGATTCAACCAAATCAAGGGGTTGTGGTCAGTGAGCACCATGAAGGATCGTCCATAGAGATAAGGATGAAGTTTTTTAAGGGCCCACACTAGCGATAAGCTATCTTTTTCCACGGCTGCATACTCAACCTCTTGGGGTAGCAGCTTGCGACTGATGTAGGCAACAGGGTGCTCACCGCTGTCAGTACCCACTTGGCTTAGCACTGATCCTAACCTGAAGGTAGAGACATCTGTATGACACAAAAACGTTTGTTTGGGTCAGACTCAGCCAAGGCCAGAGAAGAAATTAAAGCATTTTTTAGGTGCTGGAAAGCATTCTCACACTTTGGGGACCACAGTACCTGACGGGGAAGATTCTTCTTGTTCAAGTCAGTCGGGGGTTTAGCTATCGTACTATAGTCAAGAACATACCTCCTATTGTACCCTGCAGTGCCTAGGAATGCCAAGACCTGGGTTTTCATCTGGGGGTGGGCTAGTTGGCAACTGCCTTAGCTGGTTTGGGGCACTGTTGCCCAAGGCACAACTGATGCCCGAGTTACTGAACCTCGGGCATCCCCTTGCTGCATTTTTCAGGCTTTAATGTTAGGCCACATCAGGGCTGTGGAACTAACACAGTACCAACCTGGAGCAGATGTTCCTCCCAGGTATCCTACATCAAGCATCTCCATAATCTCCCTTCTCTTACTGACTTGGGTACCCAGTAAGGTTCTCGGAATCTTCCCAGGCAAGAGAACATTTGGTGGCTATCTCCTCGGGCCTTTCCTGGTACGCTTTGAGCATGTTCACTTGAAAGGTCCGCCGGTCTCTTTCATCTGAGCACTTATCTGCCAGGTAGGTAGTGTTGCATACTTGATGCACTACCTTGTAGGGTCCCTGCCAAGTGGCCTGTAATTTGTCTGACTTGGTAGACTTGAGGGTAAGAACTTTCTGCCCTACAATCAAGTTGTGGTTTCGGGTGATACAATCAAACAGAGAGAACCCAGTAGATTCCTGCAGCACTTTCCGGTAAGCCAACAGGAGGTGCAGCAGAAATTTCTCCCAATCCCGTTGAGAAGTTGCGAACGTCTGAAGCAATTGCTTCAGCATTCCATTGAACCACTCACATAGTCTGTTAGTCTGGGGGTGGAAGGGAGAGATCTATAGAGTCTTAATTCCACAGCTGCTGGGTCAGGTCCGCAGTAAATTGAGTCCCTTGGTCCAAGATAATCTCCCAAGGGAAACCAACCCTGGCAAAGATCTAGGGCAGGGTCTTTGCCACTGTCTCCGCATGGGTGTTTGTCAGGGAAATTGCCTCTGGGTAATGAGTAGCATAATCTACCACCATCAAGATATACTGTATCTCTTCCTGGAGGGACACGGTTGGGGTAACAGTCCTACCAGGTCTACAGCTACCTGGCTAAAGGGCTCAGCTATTATCAGTAGGAGGTACAAAGAAGCCTTAGATCAGTCACCGTTCTTTCCCACCCGCTGAATCACAGGTACGACAATTCTGTCTAAAGTCCCTGGTTATCCCTAGCCAGAAGAATAACTGAGTCGAACAATGAAGGGTTTTGTTAACTCCGAAGTGACCAGCTAAGGGAATGTCATGTCCGATGCTAAGCAGGTGCACCAATATTTCTGCGGCATGACCATCTGTTGCTTGGGCACAGGATGAGGTCTCTTCCATTCGGAAATGCAATACTGTAATCCCCGATCCCACTCTATCCGTTCCCTTTCTAATCCCCCGGGGTCTATTCCTGCCCTCTCCCGGTAATTAGCTAAGTTTAGGTCACAGAATATACAGTAACTGGATACTAACATTTATAGGTAAAGTTGATCCAGGGAATATCCGATTGCCTCTGGGGGGGATCAGGAAGGAATTTTTTTCCCCTGCAGGAGCAAATTGAATCATGCTATGCTGGGTTTTTTGCCTTCCTCTGGATCAACTGCGGGTGTAGGATTATAACTTTTTTTTTTTTTTTTTTTTAATGGTTGAACTGGATGAACTTTTGTGTTTTTTCAGCCAGACTAACTATGTAACTATGTAGGTCAGATAGTAGTTCCTGGGTAAAGTCAGTCGGGGTAGCTCAGGTAAGGGGTAGTTGTTAGGTCCCACCGTTGCCACCAAATGTGAGGGACTCTTGACACCCCAACTGGGTATCTCCACCAAGAAGCTGCTTCCCAAGCTCTGGAACACGAGACAAGTGACTATAGGTGTAGCTACCCCAAAGAACTAGACAACACCAGTTTTTGGAGTAAATAAGAACTGTTTTATTAGAGAAACACACTGAATTTATACAGAAAACCATCAGATAAGAGCTAATCATATTATCAAAGACAACGCCCACCCCACACAGTCTGGTGCACACATAGGATTTCATTATACGGAAGAAGCCATATGTTACAGTGATAGCATAAAAGTCAACTAGTGACCCGCTTCTGGATAACTTAGAAACACAATAAAACACAGAGTTCTCCGGGCAATGGTTCTTTTGCAGCTCCAAATTCATAACAGCAGTATTGCTAGTGGCCTCCTTGCAGCTGATCTTGATTTGCCATGTCCTGTTCTGCACTGTGTCTCTGTGTCGAGGTTGCCATCTTGGTAGAGGCGGGCCTTTTTTTCCTCATGTCAGTCAGCATGGAGAACATTGAGCAGCACAGTAGTGACATCACTCTAGATCTGGTGAGAATAACAGTTGGATGCAGCAGTGCATTACTGTAGTTCTCACACAGCAGATACACAGGTATGAGGCTGTAGGCACAGGATTACATAGGTACTCTCACATACCTGGAAGTGCACTGCTATTTTTCAGGAGGAATTTAATACAAACCTTCGTGTGCCGACATTTCTCGCTCACCAAAAGTTTCTGCGTTTTGTGGTAAAAGACTGGCATTTTCAGTTCGTGGCACTGGCCATGGCTCCTCGAGTATTAACAAAGGTTCTCGTTACAGTGTTGGGGCTGCTCAGAACTCAGGGAGTATCAATCATGGGTTATCTAGACAATCTGTTACACATGGGCCAGTCTATTCCAAGCTTCAGGCAAGATGTGACCCTTACGGTATATATGATGGAACATCTTGGCTGAATGCACAACTTCGAGAAGTCCACCCTGGAGAAAGTACAAAGCCTGGAGTATTTGGGGATGGTCCTAGACACGGTTCAGGCAAAGGTATTTCTGCCTCCAGGGAAGTACTGTGCCCCAAGAGACAAGGTCTGCAGTTTAAGAAGTTGGTTTGGGGGGCTGTCCTGGAGGAAGCCACAGTCCAGGGGACTTGGTTTTCACAAGAGAGGATTCTACCCATCAATATTCTGGAAATTCGGGCAGTACAGTGTGCCCTGAGGTATTGGACATCCAGGCTTCGAGGTTGGCCAGTAAGGATTCAGTCCGAACATGCCACAATGGTTGCATACATCAACTTCCAAGGCAGCACCAGGAGCCAAAGAGCTCAGGAGGAAGTGAATCACATTTTGGCTTGGGCAGAAGGGCATGTTCCGAGTCTGTCAGCAGTGTTCATTCTGGGAATAGAGAAGTGGCAAGAGGATTATCTCAGTCGCAGTTAGTTCTGTGGGAATAGGCCTTGCATCCTGAGATTTCCGCTGCAATCTGACAGCGGTGGGGGTGCCTGGACATAGATCTGTTGGCTTCCAGATTAAACAACAAAGTCGACAGGTTTGGGTCCAGGGTAAGGGACCCACTCGCTGTAGGGACAGATGTGTTTTCCCTTATTTATGTTTTTCCCCCGGTCCAGCTCCTGCCATGTCTCTTGTGCAGGATTCAAGAGGAATTAATTCCATTGATACTGATTGCCCCCACTTGGCCCAGTAGGACCTGGTACATGGACATAGTAAAGCTAGCAGTAGACAGTCCTTGGTCTCTGCCATACTGGCCAGAACTGCTGTCTCATTGACCTACTGTATATTGCACCCCTAAATTTGACATCATGGCTATTGAGGCCCAGATCCTGAAGGACAGGGGAGTGGCGGATTCAGTCATCCCCACAATGCTGAATGCTAGAAAGCTAGCTTCTAGGAACATTTA